ATTTATTATTTAACACAATTATTTATATATAAATAATTGTTTAACATATAACTGAATAGATCCCCTATTAGGCCTATTTATATATATAATGCATTTACGTATAAAAGATTATATGTAAATAATTGCGTTAACGTTTTCATTATTTATATATAATTAGTTTACTGATTTCATTATATATAAATAATGAAAGGATAACCAAACATTACATATAATAAGGTTACGGTTTCATTATATATAAATAATTAAAAGTAACTTACAATTATTTATATATAATAAGTTAACTGATTCCATTATATATAAATAATGAAAAGGTAACAAATCATTATATATAAATAATGAAAAGTAACTTACAATTATTTATATATAATAAGTTCAATGATTTTATTATATATAAACAACGAATTGACTTCAAACTCATTATATATAAATAACTGCTTTTACATTTCATTATATATAAATAATAGCGGTCGCAAAACCATTATATGTATATGGTATTGCCAAGCTTGTGAGTTTTTAAGTTTTGTTCCTTCCCTCCTTAGCTTTTGGTTATTTTTTTTCCATTTATTTAAATGTATGTACCACATGCAGACACATTATCACAGTATTGACAAACATTTTCTAAATTCAACACAAGTGTAATGAAACTGTGACATGCACTGCAGCACAACAATAATATTTAGATTATTTGGGTTCTAACCAATTCTTGTTTGGAGGAATACACACCCTCTAGGGTCTGTTAAATTTTTTTCTGAATTTAATAATTTTAATGTCTTTACAATTTTTTTTAAATTTAATAATTCTGAGCCTCATTTTAATAACAATAATAATAATACTAATAATGATAATAATAATAATAATAATAATAATAATAATAATAATAATAATGAATAATAATAATAATTTAAGCCTAGAAATAAATTATTGTACCTAGGCCTAGGCACTAATTAGTATTGTTATTGTATGTGATGTATAATAATACGTTAACCTGCTTGTGCATAATTTGCGTCTTGATGTCCAGCAACAAATCTAAATCAGATTATTAGGCCTAGATGTGGTCTCTTTCTCGTACCGTAGGCTTTTCTAGGTTTTGCTTGCACTACCTCTAACTCTGAATATACTACTAGTCCTACTTTGACGTCACCTAGGCCTAGGACTAATTTCTCTTCCTTCTTTACTCATTTTCTCTTTCACATCCAAATCATTCTCATCAATGGTATCTACACGGCGAATCTTTTGAGGAACAAAATACTAACCTAGGCTATAGACCCGCTGGCACCGCATTCAGTTGATTATAAATATTCATGACAGCTAATGAGTTTACATTATGCATGAGGCGTCTGAGACCGAGTAAGAAGAGACCACCGCAAAGAGCAGCGATCAGTATGATACGCCCTCTTCTTAACAGCAATTTACGACAAGACGCGATCTCCGAAGAGACGCTTTTTATAGGTAAATAATGATATGTAAACTCTAAATTCTCTTGCAGTAATACAGTAGATATATATATATATATATATATATATATATATATATATATACATTTTAAATTTTAATATATATATTTATAACACTAGATAGCCGTTAAATTAAATATATATCATCATCACAGAAAGGTAATTACATTGTATGTACCTTTCTTTGACGATGATGATGATGATAATGATGATGACGAGTGTGAAAGAATTAGATGCTTCAATCGCATTTGAGTTCTAAGCAAAGCCTCGATGGCCTAGTTGGTTAAGACGTCTGCATAGACAGTCGAAGGTCTCGTGTTCGAACCCCCACATATTTTTTTCACTCTTGCAGATTCCTCTTCTTTAACGTTTACAAATTAATCTATATATAAAGACGATTTAGAGTTTATCTCTATATATAATGTTTACGAATATCAGTGTAACAAGGGCAAATTAAAGTAAAATGGTACTCATCTTCAACTAAATTTAATGTACAATGTTTGCAAAATCTATCTTTTTTTTAAATCAATTTTTGACCATCTACCAGTTTCAATTTCTAATTCAAGGACTCCTAAACGCAACTTAGTGAGAATACGTCTATAATTAAAATTTTGTATATGCATTATGTATAGTTCGATAGGTCGGCCTGAGCACTGTTTCACAAATATATATATATATATATATATATATATATATATATATATATATATATGTACATATACACACACACTAACACACACACACACAAGAGGGCGTTTGGCCAGATAAATCTGAAAATACGGCTAGAAATATTATATATGATATTGAAGAAAGTTAGCCGTTAACACTGTTGAATAAATATAATATAAATCATCAAAGGTACGGTACATATACAGTGTTTAATAAGCACGTGATGGAACATCGTAGGCTACCCTGTAGCTTTTCAACGAATAAAGTCCTCTTGAGGCATAGCATTGTGTAATACAATGTTCCCGACGGGTATTTGGACCTGTTCAACCATGAAGCCTTCGAGGTCTAGTGGTTATGACGCTCGCCTTGTCAGTGAGAGGTCGCATGTTCGAATCTCGTCGGAGGCATTTTATTACACAATGATTTTTCATAGGACTTTATTCGTTGAAAAGCTACAGGGTAGCCTACGATGTTTCATCACGTCCTTATTAAACATTGTATATGTACCTTTGATGATTTATATAATA